TGAAGATACTAATAATCCTTGGATTGCCATTACCTTAGCAGTTGTTGGTCTCTGCTTTTTTTAAAGCTGGAAGACTTGAAGAAGCAAAGAAAAATCTTTTGAAGGCTTTGGACATAATCAGAAGATTGTTTTCAGAAAACCATCCATGGTTAGTTGAAGTTTACCAGCTGCTTTACATAATGTATAAAAGAATTTATATAATGTATAAAACCATCAGAAAACCATCCATGGTTAGTTGTAGTTTACCAGCTGCTTTACATAATGTATAAAAATTTTTTTTAGTAAAAAAATGAAGATAGCTTCTGAGATAAACGTTTTAGCCAAGAAAATACAAGTGACAAATGATTTAAGTTGGAAAAATCCCAGAGATATTTTGTTTGGCAAAAATGAGGCAGATATTACATTGGTTTGATGTAATGTATTTCCACGTAGTTAGTTTTGTAATGACTGCAGAAAATAAACTTTGGACAATTCCATACATCAGATTGTAACATGAAAAAATTTTGAACATTATGTGAATTAAAGAAGGAGAAAATAATCAATTTAAGAAGGGATGTAGTTTTTTACAACTTTTTTACAACTTTGCATTACATGCATACTTGCAAATGTGTGTTTCAACTCAGATTGACGATGTTTCGATGTCTTTTAAAATACGATGGAAAAATTTTCTATGACACCTAAAATGTTTTTTAGTGTAACGATGTCCATTTCCGTTGAACAAGCGATAAAAATGCAGGACGATAGGATAATATCAGGATTATTGACTCGGTGATAGATTAGCTAAGTCTTATCAACAATTTTACGGTCTTGCGTTATAATGTTATCATTTGCTGGGAAAATGATAACCATTGATAGGTTGAGGTTGCTTTGACAATGCCGTGCTTGGTCGATGACGTTGCCTGAGATATCTTGGATTCTCTTATTACTTTTTCAAATATTTTTCAAATAATTTTCTTTTTATATGAAAAATAGTAAATTTATAGTAGTTATAGGACATTTATAGGACAATAATTTGTCAATTAAGTATTGAATACAACAAAAGATTTTTATGAATTGAACATCCTTCATAAGTTTATTGCTATTTTAAAATGATATCAAAGTTGAGAAAAATAATCCTGTTTGTTCCAGTTGCTTAGTCATTGTATTGATATTCATTGCATTGTCTTCATTTTCATTTCCATTCGCAACAACATCACAACAACTCTGAATAGAAAGCAGACACACATGCAGGAACGTGCTAGAATGCTAATTGGGGGGTGTATATTCATATATTCAGTTGTGGGCGAGTAGTTTCTTTTATAAAGCGATTTGGTTTTCTAAGGACGTCAGTTGGGCACAGTTGAAAATATGAATATAAACCCCCCAATTGGTGTTCTAGCGCCGTCCGTGCAGACACAACCCTCCATACAAGAGCAACGTCAGCACTGGCCTTCCAATTACGGTATGTGAAAGCTTTCTTAAATTAACCTTGGTGACAATAGTATTGCATTGTTAAGGGTTGGTGAGTTATTTCTTGTTGTTGTGAGTTTACATGATTTTGTTACACTAAAACTTAGTAATGCACTTTTATTTTTTAAACAGGTGCCATGCATATCTCAAAGAATTAATCATCTGTACCTGCAATGACTGAAGATGAAGCTGGCGTACTGTTTAACGAAGGAGAACATTTTTTTATGAGGATGTGTTTCATTTACTTGAAATTATCAGTCCAGATTGCTTGTATTCGATATATCGTTTACGATTCAAGGGAAGAGAAAGAGTTTGGCGAAAATATTGAAATTGATCCCTAAATTTTTTCTGAGGAACATCCTAAAGGACATACTCCAGCACCGGGAACGACTAATAAAGATTTTTCCAGTTCGTAAAAGATATTGAACAAACCAGCTTAGCAAAAGCACTTTTTAGGCTTCGTCCAGATGAATGTCTAGGAAGCAAGTTCCTCTAGAAATAATTGGGAAGGGCAAACCTAACAGCAACATAAAATTTTAACAAAAAATGTAGGAAAACATGCCTTAAAAGCAAAACATAATTTCCTGTTTGAGGATTAGAGCAAGATGAAATGTGCTCTGTAGGATATAGTTTCTCAAGAATTAGACAAAATGATCTTATTTCTGCTTCGACGAGCTCCACAAGTGATCATGCTTTAGCAGTTTTAAGGAAGATCTATCTTTGCGAAATTACTAAGCCATATTATCATGCATGCACTTTCATTTCGCTCATTGGCAATCTGTGGATGTAATTTTGTTGTAATTTAGGCAGTCTGTTTTATTTTGGGTTACAATGATGACGAGGACGGGACACAGAAGCACCGAAAACGGATGTTCACAAGTACCAATGTTTAGTAAAAGACGAAAGAAAAAGCCCTGTTCTAACTCATACAATATATAGTTAACTTACTTAAGCACATAGTAAAAAGCATGCCAACCAGGGGCATAAGTTTGAACCAGCCTGCCTGTGGTTATTCCAGGATGGGGTCCTTCCAGGTAAAGGACAAGTGAAGTGTATGCATGAATGTAATATATCAAAGTCAATTTATGCGAGTGTGTGATGCGATATATGTCAATATGGTAAGCAGATTGATGCTTCTAAAATTGTTGTTGCCGAGGGACTTTTAGCTATGATTACTTTAGTGCTTGGGGAGTCGTGGCCGTTATATGGCAGCGAAATCCTACATTCCTGCAAATATATTTCAATGGACAAAAAATCTGTAGCCATAAGGCGCCATACTATTATTTACTTTATCATAAACAAAAAATGTTTGGGGCTTTTCAGTTTATGATCATTGATCAAACATTGGACAGTTATATTATATCTTGTTTAAGATTTGAGAAAACTAACATTGATTACATGAGAAGCTGTTTACTATAACCTGTGATTTTGAGTCTTCTGATCCATGAAGCTTTTTATTTTGATAATTTAACCGGAATGGTATTAAACCTGAGTATTTCACATACATGAAATGTTGTCCCATGTCACATATTGTCCCCTTTTCTAACTGAACACCTCATGTAGAGATGTAGAGTTGTGTTAATCGACGGCTCATACCAGATTGTTTGCCATAAATTCCAAAGGGCTGCTGATATATGAAAAGCATTTTCTATAAAGTAAAAGCGTCTTTCTATGTACGCAGATAAACCTTGAAATTTGGCAAAACAGCAAAGTATTTTTCATGATCACTAGGTAATTTTTCTGATGATCATTATAATTTCTAAACTAAATTATTTCAGATTTACATTTAAAGAGCTTTCGTCATATGAAAAGATATTTATCATAACCAGTAAGCATGACACATGAACCAATTTTAACGCTCTTGTAATTATATAATTAAAGAAATGTTGGTAACATTCTGTTTGTATTTGCAAATAAAATGCTACTAGTGATTGCTATATAGCACACCTTGCATATACTTACAGAAAATAATAGTCTAGTGAAATGCCTAATAAACATTTATGGCATTAAGCTGTCCTTAACTGCAAATTTTTACTCTGATAATTTTTGCTTAATCTTTGGCAGAAAAAAATTTTGAGTTTTTTCTCAAAAGGTGAATTTGCTGGCACTGATGTGGAGATGGGTAAAGAGTTACAATAAACTTGCATGGTTTGAAGTCTGAGCTTTTCTATATCTATGAACTGTCACTTGTAGTACCAAATTTCTAACTTAACTCATTACATAGAGGTTTGAATGGGCGTCTCTAGGGGGGTCTATGCCTGACAAATTGGTAGAAATTTTTAAAGACTATATCTCTTTTTTTAATAGCATTATTGTAAAATAAATTTTACGTTCCTAGACATGCTAATGAGCCCTATATTTGGCATGATAATGAGCCTAAATATTTGGCAAAACATTCAAGTATTGTTCACTTCATTTTTTTTTTTGAACAAAACGCATGCAAAATGTGTTGTTTTTACGCAAAAACGATGCCCACAAAATACATTTTGTGTTGCTCTAAAACGCTGAAAATGGCATTTTTAAGGCTCTGAAATTCAAAATTTCTCTGGGGTGAATTTCTCAGACCCGCCCAGGTGCGGACAGCCTCCGACGTTTTATGACTGCTGTTTGAAAAATCCTAGATCCGCCCCTGCTCAAGAAGGCTAATTTAAGCCATTCCATTGGTTAATAGCCAGATCAGTGGACGGTCTGGAATAATCTCGAACGATAAGCGGGGTGGCCGGACAGATAAGAGAGTCCAATTGCTATCGTATAGTTGCTTCGTTAACTCGAAAGCACATCAGGGCAAAAACATCTTTATATTTCTTTTACAAAATAACAATATTGTGATAAAGATAAATTCAAAGCAAAGGTTTTAATATTTCCTCTATCTCATGTATTCATGATTGATTAGCAAATACTCTTTGATTGATTTAACTGATGAGGCTCAGCTATCAACCACTCAAAACAGGCGTTTTATTGTTTTTATTTTATATAATGCAAATTTGTCAGTTGTCATTCGGGGAAGAAAGGAAAACGAATTTTATTTATTTCTTTCACTATTATATTAAAGTGTAATGAATAAGGTGTGTTTTGAGGAGAACACACTGAAACTAAGATGGAAACCATTTTTACGTAATTAACTATTATAGAATATAAGATTGCTAGTTGAATTTTCAGGCTTGCATTAGCTAATTCTTGTGGAAACGACCGCATGTAGTGCTCCTGTCATTACGAATAATTTATGTATGGAAAAGTTTATCGTGACTTGACACTCTGCACTTGAAGACTATTTAAGTTTTATAAGATATGCTAAGTCTATATGTCAAGGAAATGCTAAATACAAATGAGAGGACATAATTTCGGAGAGTTTAGATCAAATGGGTGAACTACAAATGTAAAAACAGCTGTCCATTTACTGAAATCCACTGTTTTTAATTAAAAATGTTTGTTGTAGCAACAGTTGCTAGTAGCATAACTAATTATTTGCCAACGAATATGATTCGTTCAATTTCATCAATATTCCTTCTATCTTAGATAGCAACCTGCAGTGTTTGACTGCGACTGCTATGATAAGGAGCTTCACAAACTCTAAATGCAATCGCATTGAAACAGATATCATCATTTTTCTCAAGACATTTTACGGTATATTGACAAATTTCTGATTTGAACAAGCTCTTCACTTCTCTCGACACAGGTACGTCTGATTTACACGAATTTTGCCATATTTAAGTAGAGACGTTTGTTCAAAGAAAAAATTTTTAATTGTTTGGTTTCTGATGTCTTGCGATATTGCCAAAGTGATTCTTGTTGCTCTTATGATAGCTACTAAGTTCGTCTATTCTCACAGGATAAGATTCGTACCGTTTTAAATGTCACTATTTTCAGACATGGGATTTCTAGAGAAAAATTGCTGTGATGTGAGTCATAACAAGTCCCTGTTAGTGTTGTATATTTTCTATTAACCGAAACTTGTACTTAACCCTCTAAGGGCCATATGTAGTAAAATGCATCATAATGTAAATACTCTATGCGGTCTGCGTTAAAGAACTCGAGATTGACAAACTTTTAGGCGGACACACATAATGTGTGTAGCATCGTGTTGTGACTCTCTTGGGGCCAGATGTTTTCTCAATTAAGTTTCATTCCGTAATTTCGTTTTCGCAAGCAATGGCCACTAACAGGTTGAATTGTTCGCCATGGCAGTTACTAAATGAAAAATGCAGACATGCGAACAAATAGAGATTTGGGAAAAAGGAAGACTGATCAAAATGAAACCTTGTAAGGGTGTCGTTTTACAGTGTATTAAGGAATAAAGTAATTGAGGAGCATTCTTGATGTTTCTTATGTGGCCACAACACCTGACTTGTCAATTGTCACAATAACTGTAGAAAACATACAGGGCCAAATTTAATGTCTTCTTAGGGGGCGCAACAAGGCCTAAAATTGTATAGTTTTTCGCCTATTTCAATCAATTTTCTTGGCTTTCTCCCACAGACAGGAATCGTTACTGGCATTGCATCTTATTATTAATCCATGCTTAATAATATTATTTGTGGGTAGCCTGCTTACAGGCTAACCACAATCTTATACTAAAAAATGTCCAGATGTCCAGGTGCTAGGACGGCAATTCACGAATTGACACGACTACATGACGATGGTGCGTTAAGGAAGATATTCGAAAGTATGAAATTAAGGAAATTCGTTAAATTTTACTGGCAATAGTTGAAATAAACATCTCAAAATATGATACAGGTATACTAAAGATTAGTATTAATACTGAACATCAATCATCTACAATACAAGACCTCCCGTAGGATTAAAAATAGAAATATAATTGTATAAGATTCTGTTGTGAAGATTCTCTATTGAAGAGAAAAAAAATTAATTTTTTGTTAAAATTTTTGAGATTTCTTGAGGACGTCGCTACTCTTGTTATAGTGGCAAGCCTACTTAGCAGGTCTATTGAGTTATTGACTGAAGCCTGCCTCTCAAACAGACGTCCGACTTGTTTCAGTCGTTTAAGTCGGTCGTCCATAGAGTGCGAGCTAATAAACTAGGAAGACGGACTTTTAGTTGGTGGTTATTGGAGACAAAATTATCATTTTTGTTGATAAATGATCTATAATATTTATGTTATGATTACAAAAATATGACCGTCGGACTTCTCTAGTGATTTCTCATGTAGCTAATTAAATATTAGTCATTTACGCCATTCGCGTACCTATTTTTAATTTTCTAGTGGTAGCGCAGTCATCGGTAGAGTGTAATCAAAATGCAAAGGCTAACATAAAGTATCGAGACTCAATAATACTGCGGCATGTACTGCAAATTCCATTAGTTCAAAGGTGAAGGGGGTGCAAAATTTGCTTTGGCCCTGTAATAGTATTTAATGCTAGATTTTGAGTTCAATTATACATCGGTTTCTTAGTATATATCGTGCGGCTAGCACTATTTTCCACCCAGCAAACCGCCCTTTACTTTACACAATCGGAAATAAATTAAAGATGGCGGCTAATGGGAAAGAACCAAAAGCTAAAAGGAAACCATGCATGCACTGGTGCTATGTCGTTTTGAGATGGCGAGTAATTTTATATTTTTATAATACAGTTTTTAATATCAACATATGAAAATATTTACAGATAAATGTTGCAGTATAAATTTTCATGCAACCACCTTAAGTTATAAACTTATAATCCAGGCTGGAAAATATGTCGTTTTTCGACGATTGTGTAAAATATTATATAAAATATTATATTGTGTAAAATATTATATTGTGTAAAATATTATATTTCAAAGTAAAGGGCGGTTTAAAGGTGTTAAAAGGTGCACTAGTAAATTAAACGATGAGTCACCATTAGAAGATAATTTTCATGCATTAGGTGGAAAATTTTGTGAGTCCCAGTCGCCATGTAAATCATGTCATCTTATTAAGATAAAACAAAAGTTTGTACAAATGACTATAAGTAACCATGAAATGTCCAAGGAATTCCCGAAAAAAAAACGACAAGAAGATGGAATATGAGCATCAAAGAGAACTTCGTATTTTATCAAATAAAATTATATTTTATCACGCACAGAGATCCGCAACTATCCAGCTGGCTGGAAAATAGTGCTAACCATATCGTGCGCGTGCTAAATAACTCTATCTAGAATTCATCTCTCACAAGGAGGTCACGTGGAGTGACATTGACATGCAACATCTTCCGTTTTATCAATAACATAACGTAGTTATAACATGTGTGCTATAGTGCTGTTTTCAAGCAAGGTCTGTTTACTTTCGCGACATATTGTAGTCTGCGTATCGTGATGGAGTACGTTGGGGTCGGCCGTATCGGGATGTTTGATGAGGTGCTGATGACTTGTCAGGACTAGGTTCTGACAACGTTTGCAGGTCATCATAGTTGGTCTTGACTTTGAATGGTTCTTTTGTTGGTAGGAGGTGACGCCTGTTCCTACGGACCACGTGCCCCTTTTCATTCATGACGAGGTATGCTCTAGGTTCCTTACACTTCTTGACTACTTGTCCAGTTTGTGCCCAGCTGTTGTCGTTGTTAGTTCGAATTCAGGCAGTGGTGCTCGGCTCAATATTTGATAGGTCTCGGGCAGGATAATTATACGCTGCCTTGACGTAGGAGTTGGAGGGAGTGACATTGATTGTTTAACCTTTTGCTGCGGGAAGGGTTGTGCGTGGGTTCCTGTGATACATTTTGTAGGCGGGGGAACTGCCATCATTTGCCGGTGTTGTATTCAATATTAGTATGGAGAGAAATGGATCATTCTTAGCTTCCTGGGCTTTCTTCATTGTTTGCTTGACTGTTTGGATAGATCGTTCAACGCGACCATTTGATTGAGGGAAGTGAGGACTTGAGTTGTCATATCGAAAGACACTGAGGCACTGTATTGAGGGCCATTATCGCTGACAACAATTTGTGGTATTCCATGTCGGCTGAAGATATTTTTTATGGCACGTACAACTGAAGGAGAATCCACTGGCCTTGGTATGTGAGCTACCTCGATAAATTTTGAGTGATAGTCAGTAACTATGACGCATTCTCGGTTGTAGGGTGTAAAAAGATCTGTGCCAACTTTTACCCAAGGTTGGTCTGGGACTTGATGTGGGATCAATGTCTCCCTTTGATGTCGATTACGATGATTGATGCATGTGGTACATTGAGATACGAGGACAGCTAACTCATGGTTCATCCCTGGCCAATACACGGCATGACGGGCCCGGTTTTTGCATTTTTCGATTCCTTGATGCCCTTGATGTTTAATCTCTCGGATTTCACGACGCATCGAGGTAGGTATGATAATTTGCTGTCCTTTTAGAAGGAGGTCGTTGTTGTACACGATTTCATGACGTTGGTCATAGAATGGTTTTACAGTGTTGTTAATTTCGGCTTTGGATGGCCACCATTGATTGTGTACTGCTTTAAGATCTGTAGATCTGGATCGATCCGCGTTTCACGTTGCAATTGTGAAAGTCTTGATTCGCTAATTGGAAGTGTATTGATAACCGAGTGGACGTGATGAGCCATTTCCTTTGGATTGATCTCTGGTTTACTGTTGAGAGATGCTCGACTGAGCGCATCAGCAACTTTCATGGTTTTACCAGGTGCATATTCAAACGTGAAGTCGTATTTTTTCAAGCGTAGAAAAAATCGTTGTATTCGTGGGGACATTGCACAATGCTTTTGGAGAAAACTGCTTTTAATGGTTGGTGATCATTTTGAACCACAAATGCACGACCATAAAGGTATTCGTGGAATCTTTCACATCCAAAAACGACGGACAGGGTTTCGCGCTCTATTAGTGCATAGTTTTGTTCAGACTAATCTAACGCTCTGGAGGCAAATGCAACGGGATGCCAGGTGCTGTTTATACACTGCTCTAACATTGCACCTAGACCAACTGAACTGGAGTCTGTTCGCATGCGAATTGGGAGGTTTGGGTCATAAAATTGCAGAACCGGTACAGAAGATATGTGGCGCTTGAGTTTCTCAAAGGAGTCAAGTTGAGGCTATTGCATGACGAATTCGGTATCATTCTTTAAGAGGGCTCTGAGTGGTGCTGTTTCGTCTGACAAGTTAAGAATAAATTTTCCTAGATAGTTCACCATGCTCATAAATCGCTCAACTTTTGTAGTTGGAATCGACATTCGAGTGATTGCCTCAACTTTTTTGGGGTCCGGCTTCACTCCATCTGCTGACATGACATAACCAAGAAATGTTAATTCAGTTGCACCAAAGATGCATTTCGACTGGTTCAATTTCAGTCCACTTTCTTTGATCTGAACAAAGACTTTCTGTAAGCACTGATCATGGATTTCTTTAGTTTCCCCCAAACAATTATATCATCCTGAGAGTTGGCACAACCTTCGCAGCCAGCAATGATCTTGGAGGTTTCAAGTTGGAAAATCACTAAGGATTTATTTTGCGAAGAGATGTCGTTTCTACTTCTTTTCTATATTAGGCCTGTTTCAAACGTCGAACTCATTAAAGTCTTATGAATGAGTGTTCTAGGTAAAATATGCAATGTTTCTGTTCAACGCAATTTTTAGAAGCTTTGAGAGTGGGTGTTATAAGAATGTTTATGCCAATCTCAACTTGCAACTCTTATTACATGATGTGCTTTTATAAATTTGTGCAACCATGTAAAGCATTTACTCCGTGTGAGGTTGAATTGATACCAGTGTAACTATACAAAGTACCAACAAGTACGACTTGCTTTAGCTGAAGGCACAAAAGCATGTAAGATTGCGTGCAGGAATTTTTGCGCATTTCATACAATTAAATACAAAATATAGAAGCTAGAAGTTCTTTATATCAACTAATTAATCTGTTGCACAAAGACAACGTGTGTGTTCAATTATTTTTTGTATTGCAATAGGATCAAGATAAAATAACTTTTTCAAAGAAAATTTCAATAGTTTAAAGAGTAGGTGTAATATAAAAATGTTATAACTTCTGCTGATTCGTTAAAAATAGAGCACAAAAATGTTGTAATTTTATATACATGCATTATTGCCTTCATATACCTGGTAAGGAAATCGGTTCGTGTAAAGTAGTTTGATGGTAGCATCAGTGATAGTCAAATCGACACGCTAGTATTAATATTCCTAGCTAAATCTGAACCTTCTGTGGCTTTTGATTACGACCACACGTCTAATTGGGGAAGACATTTCTACAAATTCTGTTCTTGTCGAAATAAACAGCATCTTTTTTACAAGATTTGCAAAGTTATCACGACTTTATCACGTGAACAATTTCTTTCTTCCCAGTGACAGAGCGTGTCATGAAAATAATTATGTGTATAAATTTTACGTAGAATGGAACAATGTTTGTTGATAGTTTTACATTTCATGTGGGAAAATGATGAACTATAACCGTTACACATAAGTACACCAAAATCCATCTTCAAAATAGCCAAAATTCTGACAATTATAGGTCTTATGATATTTATTCTCGATCAGAAACATTTCAAATCATTCTATTTTAACCGATACCATTTCAAAAGAAACTATTTAAAATATGCGATTTCAATAGATACTTTCTTAAATTGCTGTTACCTGTTAGCTTTTTTAGTATGCTATTTCGATAAAGTTTCGCTTAAGCTGTTTTGAAAAAATATGATAGTTATAAACAATTATTTTGAATAATGCAGTTTTAAAAACGTATTTCCTAAACTTGCAAATGCGATGAGTTGACATAAAATTCATGGTAGTGTTATGGTTGACTCCGTTGTCGCCACCCTTTCCATTGCGGTGATTGAAAATACAGTCTTTTAAATTACTCCAACTTAATTAACAAAAAAATGGAAACTTTTTTGATATAACACCTTTTTGATTAAAGAAAGATTGTCATGTCAATATTTTACCATACTTTAATTAGTCAACATATATAGCACTTAGAATAAACTGCTCTATCACTACTAAACGTGAACAGAACAATCAAACATACTTTGTACTTTAACACTAAAAACAATGTAATTTTTCCTATCACTGTTAATTTCTCAATTATGTACTAAGCCGTATTAAGCCGTATTTCGCACTTCTTTATTATATCGCGCTGTGTTTTTGTAGCATGTGCATTTCAACAACAGAATTTGAGTTGAATTATGACCAATTTTTGCGAGATGAAGACGATGTATTGTGAACAATTTGCGATTATAAAGCAGTTTAGACTACTCTTATTTCAACCAAATTCAACCTCCAAATCGATACGTCCGTTTATTTTCAAAGAGGGGAGTTATTTAGAACAAGCCGTTTCATCGTGTCTGTTTGAGAACATTCAATTTCATTTTATGATAATTTAAAACTAATATTTGGAACCGTGCTATTTTGAAATAACTGTTTTAGGATTTTAGTTTGTAAAATCAACAGTTAGTTTTTTTATCTACAAATACCTCATACTTTATTCCGTAGAGCATAGATCAACTTTACATTTACATAGACAGAATATTGGTGCATGTCGAAGGTTGCTTATTTTCATATCAAGTCAAATGAGTAGCTAAAACTTCTGTTGAAGCCTTAAAATTTGTTTAAGTAATTGCTGATTTGAATTACTGCTCAGTGATAAATGCCAGTATTATCGGTCTTTGGTTAATTGAATCTTTTTATAACTTCATTCTTGTTTGAGGAAACACCTTATTTTTTGAGTTGTGTTAATCCTATGTCATTCTGATATTTAATCAAAAACTGGGTATTCTACATATAAAATTGCATGGGTAATGTGCTGTTAGACGTTATTTACAATTGTAAAAAGAATGTATAGTATGTAAAAATTCTGTTGAGTTTGTTAGAAATTTCTTAAATGATGTTCTTGCTAGCTAATAGCCACATAATTTTTTCTAGTTAAGACATTATAGTCCCCGTGCAATGTAGTTGCTGGTTTTGCAATAGTATAATTTAAATCTGAATGTTCTAACATTGCCATAACTTCGTAAGAACGCAATGGTTATAAGACATTTAAAATAAACGACAAATTTTTTTAAAGCAAGCAAAGTTCTAACATTGCTAATTAGTGCAGAATGACCTGGCATTCAATTTTTTGACATTCCTTTTTAAATAGTAAACTCCTGCGATGGCCACTGGACGTCTATTTTGGGCAGCGACTTCACGAATCATAAAACCTTTCACTTTTAATAAAGTTTCATTTTGTCCTGGCTTTCTGAGTTATCGTGGCCAACTTCAAACACGAAAGGCAAACTCTTCTCTCCAGTCGAATGAGGTGCGTTGTAAAAATATTCATTTACATAAATTTTCCGAGAAATCACTCAAAACAATTGCGTCAATGCTCATTACAGCACAAGCGCACACAAATCCATTGATTTTGCGTAAGCGACTTTCTTTGTCAAGTGGCACTTCGTCTCTCTATGCTTGATGGTTTGTAAGCTAAAATCAGCGAGGCATGCGCTCAGCCCGTTTATTGTACTCAAGTTATGGTAATATTTTGGTCTTCACTCACTAAAAAAAGATTTTCGAAGAAATAAATAATAATTTTGTAAACTCTACATAATTAGACCAACAATGCTAGTTGCACCACATGGCTGAGATCAATAACTATCATTTAAAAGCACAATATTTGGAAGGATGATACTTCCAAAAAAAGTTATTTCGTTCAAGCTCGATACGTTGTAAATACGCTTTTTTTCTATGTAAGCCTTATGAAAAGGAAACGATTCTCAAAAGTATCTATTCGGAGCCTTCTCTATTTTAGCTAAAAGCATCAAAAATGTTTGGCGAAAAATCTGATTTGTATAATTTTTGTTGTCTGTTCTGATAGTCGGACAACATTTTTATTTTTTCATATACAATAAGTTGTTAATACATAATTGTGACGCATAATATGCTTAATGCCCAAATAAACACAAGACGGCAATTAAAATTATTCCCACGAAATCCACAACAGAAACTTGGCAAAATTCTTAAGTCGAACAGGTTAATGATTGCATACACGACAAACTGCTCTTTTGGTCAGTAGCCATGATCAGATTTAAAACTGGATCGATCTCTTGTTCACCAAAACGATTTGCTGGTTTCCAGGGGAAGGGATGGGTTGTTGAAATCATTAAAATATACTACTTAATCGCTTTTACATGCAGATTTCAAACGTCAAAGAGGATTCAACAAAAAGGAATATTAATATATTGTCTTTTGATGGTGGAGGAAGTCGAAGTGTGATGGAACTTAAGATTTTAGATGATGTTTTACGATTAGCAACGATTGTCTTGAGAAATCCTAAGACGGTGAGCCATCTTGGGAATGAAGAGTTAAATAAAAGCGACGCTAATTTCTTAGGACATCAAGATGTTAGACTTCGTCTGATTAGTGATTTGAAAGCAGTTAAAGATCCCATTCATCCCACCGATGTGTACGACATGATTGTTGGTAACAATTCTGGAGCTTTGAGCGCGTTTTGTTTGGTTGGTGGAAAAAGATTTGGAAGCGACCACAGTACTAGAGAACGGATGAGTGTTGATGAGTGCATTCAGATGTATTGCGAGAACACAAGAAGTATATTCCAGAAGTCGTTTTTACACAGGTTTTTTTCTCACGCATCCATGTTGTCTAGTATTCCACTAGTAACGTATTCACGTGACAACTTGGAGAAAATTTTGCATAATCAGTTTGGTGATTGCCGCTTAAGTGATTTTGACGGAAAGGATCCCTCTAAGCCCAAGGCCGGTGCTGTAGCCAGAAAACTGGGCAAAGACGAAGATCTCATACTGTTTGATACTGCAAGGGAAGAATACGGGAATCGCAAGGCCTGCGAAGTCTTGCTCGCAACTTTAAATGCTCCATTTTACTTTGACACTCCAGTAAAAATTGGCAATGATAAATTTGTCAACGGCGGTATTGGTGGAAATTGTCCTTTGAAACAAGCAATTCCTCGAGCCCAGGAACTTTTTGAAAAAGCCCAAATAGTTTCTGCTTTATCGATTGCACCTCCCAAATTGCCTCAGAAATCAGAAATTCTTTCTACTAAAGGTCTTTTAGGTTGGTTTCGCTATTTTGTGAATGAATCCACCGATAAAATGGCGGTGTTTAGAAGTATGGCAGAAAACTACAGTTTAAGTGGCATTATATTTCCAAGGTTGTCCCCACGTGGTGAGAACTTAAAAAGATTCAATTTTGATGAAAAAGATATTCAGAGCATGTTAGATGCTATGGAAGAAGAAAAGGTTCAAAATGGCTTGTTTCTCGTTGACGTTGTTGCTACTGCAATGGCTGTTGTCCTGGCTTTTGTTGAAAAAGTAAAATTTGATCAGAAATCCAATTTGATCATTGCAGCACAACTAGCTAAAGCGGCAGGACTTGCGTACCAAAGAAATAAAGAACATGAGAAGGCAATTTTTTCGTACAAAATAAGCAAACGTCTTCAAAAGAAAGTCAGCAATGATAGTATAATGTTTAAAATTTCTTATGACATTGCAAAATGTCAAAAAGAACAAGGAGAATATCTGCAAGCAATCAGCTCATTTGATTTCAACGTAAAAGAACTTAATCACCATCAAGCTGACCCAAAGTATGTTGACCCAAAGTATCACGACCTTATTATTGATAACTTGACTGATAAAGTAGACTGTTACCTCTTAACTTTTCTTTATAATGACGCAGAGATCTGTTTTAATGAGATCGACAAACGTGTGATCAGTGATGACAAAAGACGTGCCCAAGTACAAGTATATAAAGCAAGATACAAAAAAAAACTTGGACAACTTGAGGAAGCTGTCGCTCTTTACAAGGAAGCAATTGAAATTACAGTAGATAACATTAAGAAGGCGAAAATACTAAATGACTTGGGGTTATGTTTTTTAGAGCTAGGAATTAAAGAAAAGGCCCTAGATTTCATTATCCAAGCCCAAGAATTGAGAAAGCAGTCATGTAAGGAGGAAAGCCACGATCCTCTAGTGGCTGAATCTTTTAAAAATGTTGGCTTATGTAAAGTAGAAAATGGTGACTACGATGAAGCAAAACAAAATCTGGATAAAGCTTTTAACATCTACCAGAATATCAAAGATAAAAATAAAATATCCAATGTACAGGAAAGTTTAGCCAAATACATGTTATTAAAATGTCCACCAGACTACAATCTTGCCTTATCCTACGCACAACAAGCTCTGGAAAATAGAAAAAAACAAATCCTTAAATTTCATGATCCTGAAATTGCTAAAATCCGCGTAATTATTGGTCAATGTCTTCTCAAAACTGGAAGAAATGAAGAAGCAAAGCAAAATCTTCTAAAAGCTTTAAGTATAATCGAAAATTTGCTTTCAAAAAATCATCCACAGCTCGTCGAAATTTACGAAGCTCTCTCCCAAATATATGAAAAAAATGGGTATTTGAAACAAGCGAAAGAGTACAAAATAAAAAAAGATAATATCAACAAAGAAATTGAAAATATGGCTGGGAAAGTAAAAAATATTCAATTCAAAATAAATTGAGTTAAGATTGAAAAATCGGGAAGAGCTTTTGTCATTTTTATGCTTTTATATTCGGTCTTTGGCTACTAAAACATTAAATTTAGTTTTTACAATGTAATCAAAAGTAAATTACGAAAGAGAAGACAAAAACTTAGAGCCTGTAAATAATAGCTAATTGTTCTTATTTGAATGTGATAGTTGAAAGAAGTCAAATACAGTTTCCTCGAAGTTTTGGAGGCATGAAAAATTTGTCACTGTTTTGTAAACCGACTCGTTTGGCATCTTTGACTCGACCAAGGCGCTTGGTACCAGGACTTAACGCCAACATGTTAATCTAGTTTTCTATAATTGAAAAATAAGTAATTAATTATTCAGTTAAAACGCACTTGCTCTTTGACTTTCTTGTTAAGCAAAGCTTCTATTTGCGCGATTTTTTGTGAATTTGATATTAACTTTGTCTCCAGCGCTAATTGATTATAGAAAAGCAAATTTGCGTTTCTAGCTTGCGACTTGCCATGATTCCCTGTCTTTTTTTTTTGAGAAAATGGTAATGGCATGTAAAATTTCTACTTGCACAAATAAGTAGATTTATGTAAATTAATACAACCGAACATTAAGGCATGAATGTTAATTATGAAAATTTTATCTCAGCATATGTTTGAGAGTTTTGCCTAAAAATTAGAGAAAAATGAACAAATGTTCGTTTATTCGTCAGTCATCTTTAAATTAATTGTCAGTTTTCTGTTTTACTCATTGAAGGATCTTGAGTGTTATACGTAGCAAGGCTAACTGACGAAAAACAAAAATATAAAACCTGTCAGTGTCACACAAACAAAATCATAAAAAACAAAAGTTTTCGTCATATTAAATTATCAAGAAATTAAATATATTTCTAAAAAAATGAGCTGTTCAAATGTAAGGATATTGTAACAATAGAGTATTCAGTATCAAAATGATGACTGTGCTATATAATATTTCTGAGTAATGCATCCATTGTAAAATGTGTATGCGTCGTATATTTTGCAACATTGTGTTTTTTCGCACAATCTGCGCGAAGTGCTGGTTCACTGTTCTAAAACTTCACACTAACGATGGGACTGTATTTTGAATATATAATTTTAACACTTCAATGAGATATTTACAGTGTTGTGCACGATTTTACGTTCCAAGCGTTGGTTCTTCGCGATACGGAATGATTAAATTTGATCTCGTTAAGATTACGGACAACCGTCAATCCTAGAACTGCGTTTTCGAAATTTATTGCCTTCTGCAATACGACTCTAATTCATCAAATTTGTATGACCACTTCATACACCAATAACTACAACTTTTCCGAACTCCCGAACCAACGCTTGCAAGCTATATTTATGTATAATTATTCGGGAGTGGTTTTTGGGCGTCTACATATGACGCACAACTTTGCCATCCCGTTTCTACCTACATCCTACCGCAATGACGCATTGCAGTGAGGAAGTGTTCTCTTAACATGACTATACTATTTTACATCAACATAATATCCGTTATATCTTTTAATCTATAATATGACACAGTCACACACTACATAACATAACATGACAATTTACAACATGTTTCACACATAAAAGATTATTAAGGTTTGCCCGACACGGCATATCGCCAAACCCTCTTTTACAAATAAAGAATACATTTTTCAGAATCAATGTCACCAGTGTTTTCGTTATGCTCTATAATTCTAATTTACCTAGAGTTTTGTTTAGACCTTCAAAATCTGCTTTGTTCTTGTCGAGAAATCTGCTCCTCATCTGGTTCACTAACACTCTTCGTTTTGAACCTTTTATTTTACAAGCTACATATACGATACATCACTGGATTATTTCTATGCTATCTGCTAGAGTTGATTATTTACATCCATTGATACTAAGGGTAATTACTGCTAAACATAAGTTGAGCTTCTGTCATTAGCAGTATTCACTCTTTCATCGCGTTTCAAGTTTTTAATCGTTACAGCAAAAAAGAATTAACTAAACAAACAAAGAACTTAGAAAATATACTTAAAACAAAGAAGGAAGGAAACTTCCAATGTCAAAGGAACTTACCTGGGTAGGGGTAAAACGTGGAAACGGAATGGCGGAATAACGGAGGCGGAACAGCGGAAGCGGGATGGCGGAAGCGGAAGAGAGGGTAAAGCGCGGAACAAAAAAAATTGGAAATTTTAATTGAAAACATAATCCGTTTGTAGGCAGAGGACGGGATTGGTTAACTTAATTAAAACAGCCTCCATGACGCGTAACTGAAAGAATGAACGGCATTTGTTAATGATTCTAAAATTGTCGTCTGAATAAGAATTAGCACAATGGGAGTTATTCAAGAGATGTTTACCTATCGCGGAGTCACATGAAACCAAATTACTTTTCGTACAATCACGTTTTGGTTGTTGTCTTGAGGGGACCTTTCCATTTCTGATCGAAGTTGGTACATGCTGTTTGATCCTATCACCCAACCTTTGAGACGTTCTACCTACATAGCGAGCAGCACAGTCACATTTATACTCATAAATTACATTGCTTAAAAAATGTGCCGGTAGAGATTCTTTTGGGGTGGGTGGTAAAATAGTTCTTTTCGAAAATATAAAGATAACATTGCTCGAGAATTTGTTTTTTGCGAGATGTGTTGTTTTTGCGCAAAAACGATGCCCACAAAATACATTTTATATTGCTCTAAAACGCTGAAAATGGCATTTCCAAGGCTCTGAAATTCAACATTTCCCAGGGGAGAATGCCTCGGACCCCACCCCCCCCCATGTGAAGAGTGCCTCCGACGTTTTATGACTCATGTTTGAAAAATCCTAGATCCGCCCTGCTGCGTCCCTGCGATCCTATATCAGCTGGATTTTGTTCCCCTTAGTAATGTCCCCAGTTTGACTTATCGCTCAATTTCAAATTTCAATAACGCTATGTCTTACAAATTTTTCCCATTTACTTTTATTTTCAATCCATCATAACACAGTCTTACTATCTACCCAATATCTACATCTCAATCAATGCAATAGTCATTAGTCAATAAATACAGTAGTCATTAGTCAATCAATACAGTAGACATCAGTCTTGCTAGGATCAAGGCTGACATAAGTTCAAGTTGAGGAATCGACTGTGCTTTGATTGGAGCAACTCTAGTCTTTAATGTCAACAATTCGACATCGTGGCACCAGTCAACTCAAAAACAAAATAAGCTGTAACATTAGCATCGGAAAATCCATGCAACATATATTTTACTGGCCTACTCTATCTTTCAATATAGACATTGTTAACAACAATCTCTTGTATTGTGCTCATGTCATTTACCTATGCATTCGATATAGTACACATATTGTTGTTAATATCACTCTCCCAGTCTAGCCCTTCCTTACAAATATCCTAGTTCAAAACCTTAATTGTTACCACAATTGGACAAACTTTTCCTAAGAAATCGTAAAGAGTATACCAAAAACCTTATTTATCCGGACCCCCACTGCCTTGATGCAATTCGGCCTGTTTCAAAATGAAAAGTATCACAATGAAAATTCCATGGAAGGCCTAGAACTCTTTCGAGTTTAATCTCATTGTTTACTCCAAATTTACTCTTTTCTTTGGCTTGCAGAAGAGAATTTATAAAAGACTCACCCTCTTCTTGTGCAATCAATTTACGAATTTTCACGCTATTACTCAACCATTTTCGCAATCGAAATCCTCTATTTAACAACGACCCTTTCCATTTGGAATAAAGCTCTATCGCATGGTTTTCAGTTTTATCTTCCGAAATATTGTAGTCGCCATCACGTTCAACAAATTTATCAAAATGGTAACGAAGTGTCGCATGCAAAAGAAATAGAGAACAGTTCATGCCTAATGCAACTCGACAGAATCGGAATACCATTGGTGTATTCATGCAAGAGTTTACGTCTCCTACACACAAAAATCGCAAAACATCGCGGTCTTCTTCAGCGACCTCAACGTTCAAAAAAGCCTTTTCGATATTCGCAACAAACGCAACACGCTTTTCCTAAAGGTAAAAAAAATATCGAAAAGAAAATGAGTCAAAGACGGACAAACATGCAAACAATCCTTGAAAGAAACACTATTCTTACTCTCCTTGTAAGACGCATCGCACACCACTCTAACCTTTGTAGTTTTAGCTTCCTTTCTGACAACTACGTGATGTGGTTAATAATCTACCTTTCCTGGTTTCTCTAACTCAACCACCTTTTCTATTATTCCGGATTCTAACTGCTCTTTAATTATCTTATCAAATGGATCTTGTCTTAGTTTCGTCAATTGCCTTTTAAGACGTTTCACACTGACGTTTTGGTTTGAGGGCAAGGGATTGTGGCCCTCATTCCAAGGCAATTTGACTTGATACCTTTTCCCAGTAAAACTTATCACCTCCTGTAATGGTTAATGCACTTGATCTCCTTTCTTTATACCTAAAGATTCAAAATCCCACAGCATATTGATATTGCTAAGAACTTTTGGTTCTTCCGCGACAAAATTAACACAACTTACTTGCTGCGTTTGTGCACTTTCACACGATCCCTTAACCTGCCCTGACAGTACCCAACCCAAACTTGTGTCTACAACAACCGGTTCATTAGGTTCATTAGCACAGTATTTCAATTTTTAAAGAGCTAAATATAATCTCAACGTCTTAATACATCTATTTCAAACACATCTTTACACTTAGATACATTTTAAAACCAGTGATCACTTAAATGGGTATATTCTCCTTTACGCAATTCGACGTGCTCATTTGCTCCTTGAGCTACCGACAACACACCGAATGCTTCCATTTTAATTAAATTCGACCCTTTCAAAGGTGCAATCTCAAGCTTAAAAATACTTTGAAGCTGATTATCCCTCATCACCTTCCCAAACATTGTAATTTCAAGCCATTCATTCTTCTTGATTGATAACCCCGCTGCCTTAACCGCCTTAGACCTAACAAATGATTTATGACTGCCAGTATCAAACATGACTCTTACGCGTGCCTCCCGATTGGCACCCCTTAGCAAGTCTTGAGAGTTTGCAGTACAACACGACACTCGGAGCCAACATGCAAGTTTGGACTCACATTACCTCCCGCAACATTCCCAGAGTGAAATAGGGTATTTCAGTGGCTTTGGAAGCTTTCAAAAGTTGTGAGTGTTCCATGTTCTCAATTTGATAATGCGAGAAACTTAGAATAGTAATGAAACTGCTTCATATTAATTATTTTTGATAGTTTTTTCTTCCTTTTTCGGCATATATTACAAAAATTGTCCAATATGCATTACATACAATTGATTTGCATACATCGGCCATGCTTAAACCATTTGAAATTTTCAGCTTGCTGGCGCTCGGTCCGTTCCTTCATTAGAAAATTCAGTGTGCTTGCAAAAACTCAGCGTGCAACATGTCATATATTTTCATGCAAAAAGCTAAATTTGTGGGTGTCCTTCCTATGTAGAACACCCACACTCTAAACGTTGTGGGTGCACTGGCACCCGGACACCCACGGCTTCCTAAGCCCTTGGGGTATTTAACTCACAAAGGGATACATGATGCCCACTCTAATTATATCGTTTACAGTTTACCTTATTAGGGCAATTCTTAAAGATATGCCCTTACCTAAACGTATAAAACATCTTCCATATTTTGGAACTAACAATTTTCTATCCTTAATACTACTAACTTTTTCACAGTTCTCGTGCGGATGCTTTTCCAAACAAAAGGCAAAACGATCGTGTCCTGCTTTTGTTGTTAGTGCTGCTGCAGTTCCTTGATATTCCCTACCTCCGTAATCCCTTTGCTGCAACTTCGGCTTTGAATGCTCTTCTCGCAGTTCTACTTCCGCTAACAGTTCCACATGTAACTCGTCCATCGTCCTTTCTTTGTGCTGCTTTCCAAGCAAAAGATTCGGTCAAACAGTTTCAGACAGCTTATCTAATAAACTCGGAACCACAATCTTCTCATAACTGTCCTGGTCAACCATCAGTGCTTGCAAGCCCCGATGATGAGTTTCCATCGCAACGTAGAGAGCTCATAGTTTGGCTGAATCATGCATGCTGTAAACGGCTGGAAGATTCATTAGTTCTTTCTAATATGAGTCCTTTTGATTACGCGAGTACGACCATACCGTTGCTTTAACTGTTCTTTTGCACCCTCGTAATTTGCTGCCGTCAATGCATGACCAGAAATTGAGTCTCTCGCTTTTTCTTTTAATAAACTGCGAAGATAGGAGAACTTGTCGACGTCAGACAATGCAGCATTTTGGTCGACTGAGCTACAAAAAGAGTCCCAAAACTCTTGCCAATGCTCAATCTTTCCGTCAAATTTCTGCGACTCCAATTTTGGAAGCTTCACTCGAACATTTCGACGACACACTTTACGTCAGGTTTCAACACTTCTTCTAACCTTCGTATTGATTCCTTCATTTCAGTTCTCAACAACCCTACTTCTTTGATTTCACTCAAAAGAACGTCTACTTCCACGTCCTCTAAAAGACGCAATATCTTACTATCAAGCCACTAGAAATCCAGCAGCTGATCTTCTAGCGTGGTTTTACGGTTTGAGGAGCGTGTCAAGGAGTCAGCTGGTTCACTAACACTCTTCGCGTTTTGAACCTTTTATTTCACAAGCCACAAGTACAATACATCATTAAAGTGTTTCTACGCTATCTGTTAGAGTTAATTATTTACATCTATTTATACTAACGGTAATTACCGGCAAGCATAAGTCGAGCTCACGTCATTAGCAGTACTCACTCTTTCATCACGTTTCAAGTTCTCACGCGTTACAACAAAAAAGAATTAACTGAACAAACAAAGAACTTAGAAAATGTACTTAAAACAAAGAAATGTTAACGGGAAACTAACCTAGTTAAAAAAATTTTATTCAATGATTAAAAGAATAAAATATCCCACAGTTCTTATCATATAACCAATCCGCTTTGCAGGCTTTGTCCTTATTTGTATCTGATATGGATAAAAGCAGCCATTAAAGGATACCACGCGTTTGCTAAGTAGTAATACATAGTATTGTTAGTATAAAAAGATGAGCTTGGGAAACATTTTAATTTAATGGAGATAAAGCATGTTTTCCTTATTTTCCTGGGTTTAACGGCAAGGAACGGAAAATATGGATACAAGCTTCCACTGAGGATATGGGTTTGTTTGTAGAAACTTCAGCTACATATGTAGCCTTCACTTAGTCAGGGAAAATGGTCCGACAACAGACCTTCCATATCCTATATCGGCTGTGTAAAGTTTGGAAAATGTAAGTTTTCGTGAATAGTTTTGAGGTACAATAATGTTAATATCATAACTGATCCAATGAGCGCCCCCTAATTAAATAAGCGTCTCGTATGTAATGAACGTCTTCCCTTAAAGCGCAAGTTTTACTTTAGGGCCTGTCCGGTTACCGAAACATCTCGCCTACCTATGATTTTGCTTAGCAATCATTTACTATTAATATTTGCGTCGTGTTCATATATGCAAGCGGGCTGGTCCGGTTGCCGAGATCTCGCCTGTAGGTAACGAGATCATGGGTGGACGGGATGAAAATTTTCATATGAACTTGCTAGCCCGCTAACCGAGAGAAAATTATAATATTAAAAAATGGCGACCAATGGCGTGGAACCTGGAATTAAGCCAAAATAAACAATCATACGCTAGAATGGCATGATTTAACAGTTTAATTCGTTATTTGAAGATAACAGTAGTATTCAAAGTAAAAACACACACCATAAACGGCATGGACCCATAATATAGCAATACTAAAAATTCCGGTCTAT